TGCTTTAATAAGATTTAAAAAGGAGCAAAGCTGAGCGTCCTGCACACGTCTGAGGTTAATTTGAGACGATATGTAACTGCTCAGCATTCAGATCCTCCCACTGCTTAATGACAGAGCTGTGATGGCGGGACGGCTGTTATCTTCAGAGTCAGGTTTTTTTTTGTTTGCTTTCCATCTTTTCTTTAAATAAACTGTTTATATCGTCTTTTTCTTCCTCGCGCAGCTCTGTCCTCTCAGTCTGCAGCTGTGCAGGCTGTTTATTCTCCTCATAGTTTCTAATCCTGAGACTTCGTGTTTGTGGAAAGTCCGCCTCTCAGAGCTGAACTGATATTTCTGGGTCAGACTTCTCCGGCCGATAAGGAAAAATATCCTGGATGTGTTGAACTGGTGTCAGAATGAAGCCCATAAACCATTTATTAAAAAAAACTTTGCTGAAGGATTGATGTGATTGGTTCAGCTGTTTGTTAGGATGACTCTGAGATTTCTGGACAGATGTGCTTCAAAGTTGTCACACAAATGTCTTCCTTTAAATACGAACTGGGAGGTTTCATCTGATGTCTTCAAGAAAATATCAAACTAAACGTCCCAAAAAACAAAAACCGAACAAACTTTATTATTTTAAGCTGAATTTAGCAGGTTTCCAGTAACCTGCAGCAGGTCTGAGCCTCTTACAGTCACCGACACACCTGAGGCATGAACGCATGCCTGCACTGCCCCCCGCAGGACCAACACAGTAACTACATGTGTGAATCCATCACTCTGACCTCGCCGTTATCTGTGAAACATTCCTGTGATTTACTTGATATAAACATTACGTCTGAGGTTGATGTGGAGGGAGGGTGTGAGAATGAAACACCGGATTATTTATCCATGTTCATCTAATCAGCTGATCATGTTGCAGCAGTTTGGCGTGTAAACATTTTCCATCGTCTTATCGTGTGTGTGTGTTTTCCTAATAATAAAGGAGAGTCCGATCTGATAACTGACACTCCTCTCCGTGTTGGGGTCATTAACTCGCCACAGCCCGGTTTCTCTGGAAGACTTTATACCTGTGATTTGATCAGTTATTGTTTGATGGCGCGTTCAGGTCACCTCAACAACAGGAAGTGGTTTCAGAGGAGCGCTGGAGGCGCGAGGCCGGGATCTCGTTCTGTAGTTTTCTCCTGTTTCTGTGACACATCGTTTAAAACAGCTAAAGGAAAATCGGCTCATCTCTAACGCAGAGTCCCAGTTTGAGCACAATAAATATACATAAAAGAAGACACTGATAAAAGCAGTCAGCCTGGTTTAAAGCCAGAGAATAAAAACTGGCTTTCAAACAGGTGTTACAAGTGTCGGCTGATGGAGCGG